TGACTTATTAATCTATTACTTAAGCTAGCCTATACAACGCTACTACAATAACAAGAGCTTCTTTGGGCACAGTAGCAGAAAGATGATAATGCCTTGATTACTTTCGAGAGAACTTTCAACGTAGGATATATTATATCATTCGCGTGGGCGACGGGTACCGAAGAAGATGGGATGATGAACTTTACGAGCTTTATAATAACAATTTTGCGCATAGACGGCAACACGCCGGTGAAAAAAATCCTTCAAAATGAGTGATAAAGGAAAGCAGGGGAGCCCGCGAACACTACAGAACTAACGGATTGTTATCGGAAAGAACAGCTGGTGCAATTTCGAAAAGGAGAGCGGCAATTGGCTAAGTTTATTTTGAACTCGGCCCAAGCAAACAAACAGTTCAAGCTTAACATAAAAACAGAATAAGTAAAATATATGAATACAAATTTTGCAAATCGATATCTATATATGTATATAGAGAAATTCATAGGCATCGATGCAGCGGTTTGTTTCGATAAATAAATTTTATCATAGTAGGGGAAACGCAATTAATATATGTTTTTTTTTAATACATACTCTCATAGAAATTCTTCAGGTACTGATTAGAAGGTATAATTTGACATTTAATTAAATTTTAATTCGCAGATTTTCGACGTCAATGGAAAAGTTTTGAAAACAATCGGTTCCGAGGGCTCTGATGACGGACAGTTAAAGTTCCCACGGTAAGAAAAAATAAGAATATTTTGGTTGGTAAAATATTACTAGAGCTTAAAGGCGGAACATATGTATGTCTGTGTTAATGTCACAATCAATGCAGAAGTTCTTAATTGAAGTTAAGTTTGAAGCAAGGTGTATTCAAAATTTTCCGAAGTCTACCACTTAAACGCTTCATGGCAGAGTATATAGGTTGGTTGCTGTGTTCGGGTCCTTTCGTGTTCATCTGCGGTCCGATTGACGACAGATCACTCGGTCGGTAAGAAGCAAGGTGGGCACGCACGGTGGGTCTCGTCTCGTTTAAGATGCCAATAAAATTTTGATTATTTCACATTTGCTTAGAATTATTGTATAGGGGCGAGATCTGTACTCTTGTCCGGAGGGTGAGGTCATGCCTTTATACTTTATCGGAAGTTGTGCGGCATTCTTCGGGCTCAGGTTGTGGGCAATAGCACACTAAAATAACTATTGAGCGCATATAACTGTATGATAACCACTAAATGTTCATACGGGTGGTGCGATTAGGTTTCGTGAATCATTAAACAATATGTATGTATGTATGTATATATGTATTTAATATGCTTTTCCTCTCATCTTTTTTTAGGGGCATTGCTGTGGATGATCAAGGATATATTGTTATTGCCGATGCTGGTAATAATCGGATACAAATTTTCAATCCGGACGGCACATTCTTGAAGGCCTTCGGTTCATGGGGTTCTGGACGTTCAGAATTCAAAGGACTCGAAGGTGTTGGTATTATGTCGAATGGAAATATATTGGTATGCGACCGTGAGAATCATCGTGTACAAGTCTTTTAAATAACGACCATGAACAATCATTAGAGAAATAAATTTAAAAATTCTAATTACAATTATATAAATATACACATATGTTTGCACACTCAAAATAATTAAAATGAATGTAAATGCTTGAAATATTTATTCAGTTTTATAAATGAAATGCCAATCGCATCGCAGGAAAATAGTTTGTGTTTTTGTCCTATTTGTTTATTAATACGAATATGAATTCATATTTATGCGTAATTATACAGAAAATTTGATTTTTATTAATTTGTTATCGATATTCATTTGTAGTAGTTACATATATGCATCAATTAAAAATAGCGAAATAGAATAACATTTTTTGTTTCACGAACTTTCGC